GAAAGTGTGGGAACTTTCTTTTTTTTTTTAAAGATTTTATTTCTTTATTTGACAGAGAGAGAGAGCACAAACAGGGGGAGTGGCAGGCAGAGGCAGAGAGAGAAGCAGGCTCCCCGCAGAGCAAAGGAAGCCTGATGTGGGACTCGATCCCAGGACCCTGGGATCATGACCTGAGCCAAAGGCAGTCGCTTAACCGACTGAGCCACCCAGGCGCCCCAGTGTGGGAACTTTCTTTTCAGCAAAAGCAAGAAGCTAAAGCATCTATTGGTACTGCACCATAATGGTGGAGTTTCCAATAGGAGATTGCTCTGCAATTAATATGAACGTGGACAAATCCTATAACCTTTCTAAGACCCAGTTAACTTACCTGTGAAATGGGTGTAACAGGCTGGATTTGAGTATTATATGAGACAGAATATGCAAATCAGTATCATAGTATCTAGCACATAAACAACATTCAATATATAGTTGTTATTATTGGTATTATTATTATTTGTTTGGATCAGAGCCTTCTAGGCCATTTTAGAACTCAAGCTTTTCTTTTTAGTTTTTCGTCTTGTGTCTTTTGTTACATTTTTAATATCTTTATTGATGCTCCTAGTTCACATGCCATAAAATTCACTCAATTAAAGTATACAATTCAATAGTAAATTCACAGAGGTGTGCAACCATCATCACAGTCTAAATTTAAAACATTTTCATCACCCCCAAAAGAAACCGTGTGCCTATTAGCAATCACTCACCATTCCTCTTCCGCCCCAGCTCCCTACAGCCCTAGGCATCTTTTGAGTATCTTTTCATGAGCTTTTTGGCCATTTGTATATCTTCTTTGAAGAAATGTCTATTCAAATTATTTTCCCATCTTGTAATTTGGTTAATTGTCTTTTGTTATTGAGTTGGAAGAGTTCTTTGTGTATTCTGTATACAAGTCCCTTGTCAGACAAATGATTTACAAATATTTTCAAGCCATTCTGTGGCTTGTCTTGATATTACTTTTATTAACTGATAAATCTGGACCTCTCTCTCTGTATTTAATGCTTCCATACCCTCTTAACTGATTTGCACAAACTCTCTTTCCAGCCTCTGTTTCTCTACCTTGCTCTTCAGTCTGTCCACGAGCCCCTTCAGGTCCCCGAGGAATACCTGAAACCATACAACTTTATCCAAGATAAGAATAGGCACTACTATGCAGGAATGGTGTCTCTTATGGATGAAGCAGTGGGAAATGTCACGGCAGCCTTAAAAAGCCACGGGCTCTGGAACAACACAGTGTTCATCTTCTCCACAGGTAAGTCTGTCAATAGGAAAATCATCTCTTGGCAAAGCCTAGGACATGGTATTCGATACATGGAATGAAGACAAATTGGAACATTTAGCAGTTCCTTATTAAAATAAATGTTAACTGTGCGAGTGGAGACATGATAATAATGGATAGAAAAATGTGTCTAAGGAAAAGCATTATGGGCCTTCCCTCTCTTCCTTCAGATATCAAAATATTCTGGCAGAATGCTTGAAAACCAGCTCTCACGACCCGAGTGAGTATGAGCGGACATCACTCATACGCAGGGCAGCCGGGCAGTGAATTCCTAGAGTGGCTTGTTCTCCGCTGTCTCTGCGGCCCAGGTGTCCTCTGTGAGTAGGACTTGTGCTGATGAGAGCAGTTCCCTATCAGTGTAGAGACAGAAATCTGACCTTAAGAAGACAAAGGAGAAATGGTGACATTTAAATCTAGGCTAGAGTGGCCAAGCATAGATATTTTTTGCATTAGGATTGTTTTCTGACAATAAAATTCATACACACCAATTAGAGAAAAAACAGAAAAGAAGGAGGAAAGAAAGTTTTTGAAAATAGTTTTCATTATGGCAGTGCCCTTCTGATTCCTCATCTGTTATACACACAATTTTTCTTCCGTCTGATTAGACAGAGTTTGCTAAAACGTCCCTGCGATGGGCTATGGGTATAGATCTTGGTTTACTCATTATGCTGAGCACTCTGAGACCACTTTGTATCTAAAAATAAGGATGCTTTTTTTAATGGGAAGCTTTCTTGTATTATTTATTTCAGAATTGTTTGGCCCTCCATCCTACCTTTCTCCTATTCTCTCTTTACAGAACTTCTGTTATTTGGATAGTGGATTATCCTTTGATTTCCTTAGTTTTTTTCCTCTCCTGTTTATTTTTCTTCTATTTGGGAAATTTCCTTATCATTATTTTGTAATCTTTTCTATTAAATTCATTTTGACTACCGTATTTTTAAATTATTCATTCTCCAAAGGCTGTGCTCTTGGCTATTAACTGTATGTGGGTGTGAGTGTGTATGTAGATATGTGTATACACATATGTGTACTTGTATGTGTGTATATGTGTGAGCCCATACCTTTACTTTTAAGCTCGCTTATACTCCCAACATTGCCTCTCTTCCTTCTAAGGTCATTTGTATCTTTTTTGGCCTGTCTTTCATGAAAAAGCTTCCTCAAATCCCTGGCGATCATTGGCTAAAACTTAAAAATTGGATTGGAAACTCCAAGGGTGAGGACAGGACTTGTCTTCGGTGAATTTTACTGTAAAATGACAACGTGAGGCATGTGTGGTGACGTTTTGAGGAATTAATCTGGGTATTCTACTCATAGCTTGTGTTTTTTAAGAGTAGTTTTGTTTTGGGGTGCCTGGTGGCCAGTTAAGCGTCTGCCTTTGGCTCAGGTCATGAGCCAGGGTCCTGGGATCGAGTCCTGAATTGGGCTCCCTGCTCAGGGGGGAGTCTGCTTCTCCCTCTGCTGCTCCCCCTGCTTGTGCTCTCTCTCACTCACGCTCTCTCTCTCTCAAATAAATAAATAATATCTTAAAAAAAGGAGTAGTTTTGTTTTGCTTTTAATTAGGTATTGTTATTGAATTTAGCACTTATTGAATACTTACTCTGCGTAGGGTAGAATTCAAAGTGCTTTACATGACTTAGCTCAATTAATTCTCACAATAATATCTGAGGACTACTATTATCCCATCGTGCAGATGTGAGAACTGCAGCACAAAGAGGCTAAGTAACCTGCCTAAGGCCACACAGCCAGGCAGAGCCAGACAGCAACCTTTCTGGTTCCAGTGCCATCTTCTGAGATGATGCCAATGATGACCTGGATGTTCTTATGGGACCTTATGATATAGCAGAGTTTTCCCCGTGGTTTGCTGCCATATTGATCTGTTGAGGAGCCTGGGCATAGCCAGGAGAGACATTCACCCTGAGCAGCGTTGTTTAGTTGCTTCACTGTGATACAAACACTCCAATTTTCTAAGCATGCCCTGCTGTGAAACGGGTTGAATGTAAGATAACGTGTCCCCCTCCAACCCTGCAAAGTTCCCCTCTTCTGAAGAAATGGAGACATCTTATGCTTGAGTCCTTACAAGATCTCTCATATTCTGAGAGTCTTCTCAATTTACTTTATTTTGAACAGCCTGGTAAAGCAATTTAATCAGGTCTGGAATCGAATGCTTATAGAGGTCACTAGAAAGAATCAATAAAAAAAGAGGCCAAGACATTTAATACTGATTTAGTACTTATTCCTGGGAAATGACCTCACAGTTGCAAGAATTGGAAGTTGTAAGTTTATAAAGCAGGCCTTTGTTGTAGAGATCACAATTTTGCAATTTAAGGATAAATGATTTCCTGAAAGGAAAATGTACCCTATGTAGACTGCGAAGTGCTCAGGCAGAAATGAACATGGTACCTCTGGAAAACTGTTAAATATCTCAGAGTGCCTCCCGTGACAGTGGTTATTGCTGTCAAGGATGCATGGGAAGAGGTGCAGTAATAGGTTTTCATGATATGTGAGAGTTGGAAGGAAGCAATATTTTAAGATCTTTTATTATATGAGTTCAAATGTGTTTATATAACCATATTTTAAATAGTTGACTGTTTCATAAACATCCATAATGTATTATTTATTCAAGTTGTCAAAAATAATTTTTGAAGCTTCGCATTGAGGTAATGGGGATTACCTTACAATAAGGCTGCCTTATGGTCTAACACTATGATATATTAATAGGTACATTAATCTGGGACCATCTTTCCTTTGTTGGGCTAAATCCAATTTGATCATGTGTATATATATTTTTTATACTACTGAATTCCATTTGCTAGGGTTTTATTTAGGACTTTTGCCTCGACTCAGAAGTGAAAGTGGGATTGGTGGCTCCTTTTCTCCCTGTCAGGTCTGTTGTCTTGGTTATACTCACTTCATAAAATAGTTGGGATGGCTTTTCCTTCTTTTTTTTATGCTCTGGAACAGTTTACAGATTGTTTGAAAGATCTTTCTGGTTGAGCTGGTCCCTGGGACCTTTTTTGGAGGAGTTTTCTTTTTTAATTATCTCCATAGTTTAAATTTTTTGCTGAGTTATATCTGAGTGTAGGTCTTTAAAATATTTGAAAATTAATTTTGCCTCATCTATATGAGCCCTTTGATCTGCCTGCTGAGATTATTTTTTACTCTGGAAGTTTTCCTTGTACATATTTTAGCTTATTGCTTTAGTTCTGCTCGATTTATTTCTCAAAAATAGCTTTAATTAATAGGTTGAATCGCTGATTCAGCTTCTCTCTCATTATTTTCAGTTCTCTGTCCTTTTTCTCAGTCTTCTGGATCTCCTCTGCATTATCAGTTAGACATTTTTGCAACTTGGCTTATGTTCTTTAGGATCTCCAGTGTTGATTATTATTGATTGTATTTTTACTTTCTTGCAATCCTTCCTTTGCCTCGATCAGTTCCCTTTTCTTCTACGCTTGTTAGTAATAATAATAATAATAATGACTACTGCTTGTTAAGTATTTACTGCATCCCCAGGCCCTGTTCTAGAGCCTTCCCTATACTTTCTCATTATTGGTCATGTTGTTAGCATTAAAGCTCGAAGCGGCCTTGTGAAATAGGTTTCTTTATCCCCATTTTATAAGTGAAGAAACCAGAACTTTAAAGAGGTTATGTGATTTGCCCAAGGCTACTCTGATGGTCTGAATGTGTCCATCCACAATACGCATGTGGTGGTTAGAAGGTGGGCCTTTGGGAGGTGATTAGGTTACGAGGTAGAGTCCTCGTTAATGGGATTCGTGCTTTTGTAGAAGTCACTCCAGAGAGATCCCTAGCATCTTCCTCCATGTGAGGACACAGCAAGAAGACACCGGCTGTGAACCAGCAAGCGGGCCCTCACCAGAAGGTGACCACATGGGTGCTCGATCTTGGTCTTCCCAGCTTCCAGAACTGAGAAATAAATTTCTGTTGTTTATAAGCCACCCAGTCGGTGGTATTTTGTTAGAGCAGCCCGAATGGACTGACAAATGGAAGAGCCAGAATTTAAGTGCAGATCTACTTGAGGTCGATACCTATTAGCCATAATCAACTGGGCTTTTGCATCTCATCTTTTCCTTTTTAGCTCATCCCATTGTCCCTTATCTCTACTTTTGGCTTTCTACATTTCTGTTCATAGAACCTGTGCTTCTCCTGAATCTTTCTGAAGAGGCCTCTGCTAAAATCTTCATTTTCATTATAAATCATTATCAGCTATATATTCTTCCTCTGAGTATAAGCAATGACGGATCTGTCCACACAGAGTACATGGCCATCTCTTGACCTCTGATCACGGTTCCCTGGTTAATTTCCTCCCAAACCTGTCGTTTGAGGTCAGGTTGATGTGCATGGCTTCTTCAGTTCCCAGTGGCCTTAGGCATTCAGTGTTCTATACTCCAGTGAATCTGATTGACATACTTGACATTTTCCTCCTTTTTGACTACCTGGTTCTTGGAAATGCTAGAAGAACCCCAGTATGCACAGCTAGCAGACTCTTCCTATCTCCATACCTTCAGGGCTTTACTTCGGGGGCATTTCCCAGGATACAGTGTGCCCCACTGTCAGACCCTTTTCTTTTCTTACTCATTGTTTTCTGGGAGATGTGATCTCTAACTGCATATAGACGGGGGGGGAAGGTAATATAATTCTCTGCTCATTTCAAAAATTAGCACTGTCCCGTCCCAGGCTGCCGTCCTGCTTCTTCTCAGGTGGGTGGGGTGGCTCTGTATCATGAGGCAAATGGGAGTTGCCAGCCCTTGTTTCTTCAGTCCAGCTTCTTTGGCCTTACCGCTTACAGAAATTTCTCCAAGATTCTCTTGGGTATTATAGGTTGTCATTCAGTCCTGGTTTTTCACACTGTGATGAGTTTTCATCTTATTCTAACTCATCACAGCATCTTATTCATCATATTCTATGTCTGTGTTATTTTAGTAGGATATTGCTCAAGAGAAGCAGCATTGGTGGCT